CTGGGGTTAAACCATGACACTGATGTTGAGGACCCCAAAACTGTGTGCAGTATTCCAGGTGGGTCTCAGGAGACCTCCCCTTTACTCTGGTAGAGGGGAAGAATCACCTCCCTTGACCTGCTGCCCACACTCCTGTGGATGCAGCCCAGGATTCCATTGGTTCTCTGGGCTGAGCTCACACTGCAGCTCGTGGTGAGCTTCTCATCCAAATCATTAGCAGCACCTTTTATTCCAGGTGAGTAGCAGAGGAAACTCACATAGAACTATCTGTCCCCTCAGTGCCATGAAAAGAGAGCAATTTCCTTACCTAATCCTGCAGTGCTTTCTGTGTTGGAAGAGAATCTCCTCTTATCCTCAGGCCAGTTCAGCCTTTCCTCCAGGTGCTCTGTGATGTTCAGGTAAGCTTCATCTAGGCCCATGGGCATGAAATTGGGATCATACTCAGCCAGGATTGCTCTAACCTTCACAGACACAGAGTGAAAGTTTAAAGCCTTGTGGCTGTGAGAGCAGGTCCTGACACACAATTATGACATGAACAACTGTACCCTGAGAGTTCAAGATGACCAAGGAATATTAAAGATATTCACAGAACAAATTATTTCTTGATATTGTAAACATTCAAACTGAAGTTACAGCCAGTGTTTTAGAGCAGTGGTTAATCTCACAGGCAAATAAACAGTAAAACCTGTCTTAGCGGTAAGTGCATCTTCCTAAAAGGAAACATAACAAAATAGATGACAAAATAGAAGCTCTACCTTTTCTCCTCTTTTTTTTCCCCCTCTCTTTTTTAAACATGGAGGAAATTTTGACTGCATCGTGTTTTTTCCTATCAGTTTGGGTCAAACTCTTAGGTATCACCACACTTGTTCACATGCACTTCCTCTTTCTGAAACTGATTAAAGGTTGGATTCACTACTCAGCTTTAAATGACAAAATATTTGCAACCCAAACCCCAAGAGGAAAACACAACATCCAAACCAAGCGAAACTTCCGATACTTTACCAAACAACAAGGAAATACATATAATGAAATCCAAGATGATTAATAAGTTCAAGCCCATTCTGAAACATTCATATTTATATATGATTTCTTTTGTAGAGAAGTGGAAAAAAATCAAGCAAGATCAATCCCACTTTATATCTGTGAAGAGACTCAGGCTTCATAAAAATAAATAAGAGGATCTTGCCGTGACTTTATGGAAGTCAGGAGACTTGTGTCATGCACTGGTGTGATTTGAAATGTACAAAAAATCTTCTTTTCTTTTTTCTTTGTTTAGTTTTTAAACCAGGCTTTTGGAGTATCCTAACTATTTCCTCTGGCACTAAGCAAAACCACTCCCATCAAAGCAAAATGTTATTTCTTCTCTCCCCGTTTCTCTTGCCATTTATACCAAATCCTTTCCTTTAAAAAAATTAATCTGCCCTTAGAGCTCACTAAAGCTCTTTGCTTTTCTCTCCAGTAATTAACATTCAAAGTTATGATTACGCTTTGCATGAAATTATTATCTCCACATTTCCTTTGTGCTTGCAGCTTCCCAATAACTAGATTAAGCTCCATGGGTTTGAAATTTTAAGAAGAATAAGACTCAAGTGTTACCACTACAAAGAGGTTTTCAAAGCCTCTATCAGCATCACCACTACCTTCAGCAAATGGCAAGATGGGTGAGTTAATTGCTTTCTCATCTCCTTGCCCAGCAGCACCAATGTTAACCCTCTGTTTAAAGTCACATCACTGCAGAGTTTAACATTTAAACCTTCACTTCTCATATTACCCAGAACAATGCAGCCTACAAGAAAGTTACACTGAATTCTGGTCAGAGAGCACTTTCAGACTTACCTCTTTGCTCACTTTGCCATATTTTTCAAAGTTTGGTGGTACAATAGTGAGATGTGGACACAGCTTTTTAGCAATGAATCCAGGCATGGCTGCTCGCACACCAAACCTCCTGGCGTGGTAATTTGAGGTGGACTAGGCAGAGATTAAATAGAGCTTTAAGTTTAGCATAAAAACATCAAGTTCTAATCATATATCTCCACACAGAAGAGACTGACAAGGCTGAGAGTTAATATGCCTTTTCTCCCTACTCCCTCCTGACTGTTACATCCTATAAATTTCCATTAGCACAGTCATTACTGACAGTAAAATCCAACTCATGGTCTAGTCAAACAACAGTTGTTTCCTCTATTATTTTGGGGCTTTCCACACTTTCCAGACAAGTGCCATTATATTATGCTATTATTCCATGGTTAATTAGGCTTGGGATTCATGCAACTGATTTCTGTACTGTGCCTTACCAACATACTCATTGATCCCACTGCTACAGGCTTTTCCTTCAGCTCTGGATTGTCCCTCATTTCCACAGCTGCATAGAAGGCATCCATGTCAATGTGCACAATTGTGCTGCTGAGGTTACGGCTCTGCTCCAGCTCCAATACCAGTTTGTCCACCTGAACACACACAAACCATTGAAGAACTATTAAACCTGGCAGAAATCCAACAGTAGAGATGAGCCTAAAATCTCAAATCCACCTGGAGTATAGCTAAAGACAGAACATCCCAACAAACCTGATCCCCACCAAAAAAACACCCGACCAGGTTTTCTGATGAAACTTGCTGTCAGAGAGAACATTGCTGCAGCAAACAGTTCAAAAAAAACATCCCAAAACCTAAGGAAAAAGAACTGTTGTGGCTTAGCCCCAGCTGACAACTAAAGTCATGCAGCCACTCACAGTCAAGTGAGGGAGAGAATCACAAAAGTGAGGAAATCTGTGGCTGGAAATGAAGACAATTTATCAGGGAAGGGAAAACCTGTGCACACAAGCAGATCAAAATAAGGAACTCAGTCACTGCACCCCATGGGCAGGGAGGTGTTCACCATCCCCAGGAAAACCAGGCCTCATCGTATGCAACAGATTTTTTGGGAAGACAAATGCCCTAATTCCCAAAATCCCTCCTTCCTCCTTTTTCCCCTAAGTTTATACACTGAACATGACTCCATATGGTCTGGAATATCCCTGTGGTCACTCAGGATCAGCTGTCCTGGCTGTTTCCCCACCAGCTCCTTGTGCACCCCCAGTCTCCTCACTGGTGAGGTGATGGGAGGAGCAGAAAAGACCTTGACATGGCAAGTGCTGCTCAGCCATAACTAAAGCATCTCTGTATTATCAACACTTTCCAGTACAAATCCAAAAAATGCAGTCCCATAGCAGCTCCTGGGAGGAAAATTAACTCTATCCTAGCCAAAACCAGCACAAACCTCATCCACCAAACAACAAACCTCACACGTGTGGGAAAAGGAAAGATGAGCCACCTGATTCAGACAGAAACTGTGTAAGACCATTGACTACGCAGCTTTGGTTACAGCACTTAGGGATACAGGCTGTTTTTAAAAACTGAGAACATGCTATTAGAGAATTTCCAACACTCTTAAACAGCGTTGGGGAAAAAAAAGCCACCACAAAAAATTGGCCTAGAAAGGTGAAAAGATAAGCAGCCCACAGGACACATCCACCTATTTTGTCTTGCCAGAAATAAGGTCCAAACAAACAGGTTCACTTACCACTAAGCAACTGTCAATCCCTCAGTACAATCCATCAACATCTGTTACAGGAATTCATAGGAAACTGCAAGGGTTTCAAAGAAAATCCTCTACACAAAGTGTGTTTCACTCAAGATGGACCTCCACCAGCAGATGGAGAGCAGTACAGCTCCATCAGCTCCAGAGCTGTGAGGCAAGGGCGAAACACACAGATTGCTCCATGAAATGCCTCAATCATGCTTCATTTGCTTACATTCTTTTACCAGAAGTCATGCAGATCATATGGTTGTTCCTGAAATACTGTTCAGCTATGAAAGAGGTATGAACTATGAGTGTCACGAGAACACATGAGTGAAGGATCTGACAGGGCATTTTTAAGGTCTACTGATTTAAGATGGTTGTGTTGGCAAGCATCACACATCACTCTAGGAGAGAGAAAAAAACACCCAAAAAAAAGGGAAGTGCTACCAAACTGTAATTATCTAACCACACTTCATAAGCAAAACATAAAAATCTTGTCCAAAAAACCACATCTTTGGAGCTCAAGACACTAGAACCAAGGCAAGTGGCCTTGGAATGTTCTAATTAAATTGCCTATTAATGATTTACAGTCTTTCCTTTGTCTTGTTCTAAGCTGATGTGAGGGATGAAAGGCTGGAATGGAGCCTCAAACTAGGATACTCCATACAGAGGAGCACAGTCTGCTCTGTGAGGCCCAGAAAACTGGTTTAGACAAATTGAAAGCACAATCATAGACTCATAGAATCACAGAATCATAGAATTTAGGGGTTGGAATGGACCTTACAGATCATCCAGCCCCAACCCCCTACCCTGAGCAGGGACACTTCCTCACTAGATCAGGTTGCTCAAGGCTCATCCAGTCTGGCCTTGAACACTGCCAGGGTTTGGGCAGCCACAGCCTCCTCCCTGGGCAACCTGGGACAGTGTCTCACCACCCTCACAGGGAAAAACTTTGTTCTCACATCCAACCCAGACTTCCCCTGCTTCAGTTTGAACCTGTTATCCCTTCTCATATCACTGCAGTTCCTAACAGTGTCTCTCTCTGGCTCCTTATAGGCCCTTCAGAGATTGAAAAGTTGCTCTGAGGTCTCCAAGCAGTGGGGAAAGCCACTAAAACAAAGAACAAAAAAATGGGGTAATTCTATTATGCCACTAATTCAGTAAGGGTTCGTGTCACAACAATCAATCAAACCATCCTTATTTTAAACAATACTTTACAGATAATGTTCAGGTGACCTTCAAATTCAAATTGCTTAATTAATATCGTCAACTAACACCCTAAAAAGTACAAATTATAAGTTTAATTTTGCTTACAGTGACTTCTAGAAAATTTCCAGCCTAATCTCTCCTTTCTCAGCCCACAATGCAAAAATAGGAGCACGCAAAGCAAGACAGGAGAGTCAATAAAAAAAGCTACACAACAGTAAGTATTTACAGAATAAACATCTGTGCTAAAAACTGACATGAATAAAAATAGCAGTCTGCAAATCTAGCAGCAGCTGGGTACTTTTTTCTGCTATTTATTATTTGGTGTTGCTGAATTTCAAGCAATTCCACTCTGGGCTGTTACGATAAGCCAACTCTGCGACAGAAGAGTTTTCAAGAGTTAATAATTACATGACACTGTACAGCATGTAATTCCCCTGAAAAGATTATAATTATGTTCACTAGGAAAACTTCAAGCTACTTTCACATTTGAGATTATTAAAACCAGCCAACCAAAAAAAAAAGGCCAAAGAAATATTTGCACATAGGAATGGCAGTTTTAAGACTTAAAAGTCCTTCCTAATCTTCCACACTTGCAGGATCATTGTGCTAAGTTCCCTTCCATGAGCCTTCTAGGGAAAACTGCAGAAATATGGGACATACCCTTACAAATTCCCTGGCACACACACGTTGCAGTGGAGAGGAAAACCATTATGTTGGAGGTTCCACATTTTATTTACATTAGTTTCCACCATGTAACAAGGATTTTGCAAAAAAAATCCAGTAAGTGCAGACATATTTTTTTCACCCTACAGCACTTAGTAACTTCTAGCTTAGGAAGCTGTACCTGAGCCTCTAACCATCCTACAATCAAAACCTGATCTGCAGCTGAGAACTTGTATCATTCCTAGAGGTTGATATATGGATAGCTTTGTAATCCCAGAGTACCTCCTACTTGCAAATTCTCAGAGAACAAGTTCTTTATCAGAAGACAGGACTGAAAAGAAGAGTTAAGAACTCAATAGACAACTACAATAGTAAGAGCTGACTAAATCCCTCTCTGAAGAGCTTGGGGAGATGATTAAACAATAAACAGCCCATACTAACGAAACCAAACAGGACAAAGGAGACTCCAAAGGGAAAAGTGGAGGTAATGGCCTGGAGAGAGTAGGTGGCAGGAAGTAACAGAAAGAGGGGGAGGCATTTAGAGGATGAGACACAAGTAGGACTGGGTAGGCCATGAGAGTGGGAACTTCAGTGGGGACTCTGGAGTACTACTTTGGAGAGAGGACTGATGGCAGCCTGTGGATGTGGGACAAGAAAGGGAAATTCGGGATATGATACGTTAAAAGAAAGGAGAGAGCAAAATGGTCAGAATTTGTGGCGAGGGAATGAGGGCAACAACAGTGATGAGCCAGAGCTCATCTGCACACAGAGGATAACACCCAAATCTAGGATTTCCAGATGCTCTCAGAGCAGCAAAGATCCAAACTTCTCCAGCAAAGTGTGCGTGCTGTACCCCTCTGATGACAGCTCTCTGCAGTGTGACAGCTGACTGCAATGTCCCCACTGAACATACAGAAAACGGCTACTTGAGCAAGCAGTAGTGAGATTTCAACAGTGGGGGTGAAAACTGGGTCCCAGCAAGACCCACATGAAAGAGTTTTTCTCTGAAAGTTTCTTTTTCTCCTACAGTGTTCATAAGAAACATTAAAAGAATAAAACATTACATTGCAAGATCAAAGAATCAAGTTCAGACATGACAACATGAAGGTGGACAAGTAAATACAAATTCATTGGCTTCCACTACATGCACCACATATGCTTTAATTATACAGCTGTACACTGAAGTTATAGTATTTGTGTCATTCATGTCACTCATTTTATAAGAAGGTCTGTCCTTTGTAAAATAAACAGTTCTGTGGTAAACAGAGGATGGAAATGGAAGTGGTTTTCCCCTAATTAAAGGAGTTAAAAGTTACCTCAGTTAACTAAAAAAAAAAACCGGACAGAGTCACAACTGATCCATGCTAGAGATTCACTACAACAGTTGTGGCACTTAGGCTTACACCTCATTTTTCTGAGGTACTCAGAATTGAATCATAGATCAATCAACCAGGCTGGAAGAGAACTCAAGGAGATAAAACTAAAACAAAAGCAGCTCTGCAACTGAAGTGGAATAGTGGTAGCAGAGGTCTGAATTCAGATATAACAGCTACCAAGGCAAGAGTGTTCTGTCATGACAAGAAACAGTTAACAAAACAGTAAACAAAAAAAAATAAATCATAGAATCAACTAGGTAGGAAAAGATCTCCAAGATCATCAAGTCCAACCCTACTGTGGTTACTGGACCATGGACACATCTGGTCTCAGCTTGAAAACCTCCAAGGACAGTGAATCCACCACCTCCCTGGGCAGCACATTCCAATGCCTGAGCACTCTCTCTGTAAAAAATCTCTTCCTGATATCCAACCTAAACCTCCCCTGGCAGAGCGTGAGTAACTGGAAGCTTTTCTGGGCACCAATATGAGATACCAGAATCCAACGCACAGAAGTGACTGCAAATCTGAAACGAACAAACAAGGCTGTACACCAAGAAAAGCTCAACCTAAAACCCTCACAATGGCACTGAACATTAAAGGATGTGTTTAATCTTCCTGTGCTTCAGCTCCTCTCCCACTAAATTCTCCTTTGTTGGAGTACTGCAGGAATTAAGGCTCCACAGCCTGTGGAGTATGACATAGAAATCTCTGTGAGGAAGTCAGTAATTCTGCTTTCAAAACTGCACCAGACCAGTGCAGAGCAAATGAAGCTTGGGGCCACCCACTGAGCAATAAGGGCAACAGAAAGTATGGAATAATTGCCCACCCAGTGCACACTGTCTGCGCTGGGTAAAGCAGGAATCCTGTCATGGAAAAACAGCGAGCAGTGGTGTAATTAAAGACCGAGTCACTGCCCAAGTGAAGATGGAAAGGAGTTTTGTTGTGCCTGAGGATGTTCAGTGAGCAACCTTGGTGCCATTGTTTTCTTTAACAACTTCTCATACACACCAATACTCTGGAGACTGTTACCTATCATCAGCATTTGAAAAGAGAAACAGCCTCTTCTGTGATGGTGTTTCATTAATTACCATAAAAAAGGCACCAATCACGTCCAGGATTGTTTACAGCTGTGATCTGCCTCATCCCTTTGAACACAAATTGAGTTCATACACTGTAAAACTCCAGACTGCTGCTATACTTGTTAACAAAGCATTTAATAAACCTTTGTACGTACCATAACTACATCAGGTTAAACTGATCAGACGTAAAAGAACAGGAATCACTTCGTTTTACTCACTTACAGAACATTTGCAATCCACCCTTCCAGCAAGTTTTTGTTAAGATGCCATCACCAAAACACTGAGCACTTTTACTTGCATGTCAGACACCAAAACAGTAGTGAACACTGTGCTGATCACCATGATTTAACGCAATGAAGTGGAACACACCAAAGCACTCAAAAAGGTCAATACCTGCAGCTGTGCCTTCAGGAGCTGCTGTGTGGTGATTTTCTCTTTCAGCTGCATCATTTTCTCAACTCGTTGGTTAACTTGTTGATCTTTTTTAAGTTCATTTTCATAAAATCTAGAGCCCTGGAAGGAAAAATCACAAAAACATTAAGTTTTTCATTTGTCTTCTCCTTTAAGCAAACCATATTTGATCTTTCAATACAGAAAACATACAACACAGTAATTGTTCCTAACACATACTCTGGATTTTTGATACAAAGATACACACAAGAGACCTCTGGTCCTTTACATTTCTCTTCAAGTGACACAAATATATTTCTCCTTCTCAGAGCTACAACACTCAAAAAGGGACTATTCAGAGAACTTTGTATGTTTACTCATTCTAATCCTTAACAACAAAAACTCCAGAACAGTAGATAAAAGTCAAAGTATTATTTGCAACGCCTCCAAGGTGTGGAGTATAAAACCTCCAAAAAACTTCATTTAAGCATTTTTGCCAAACCTCCATGTAGTTTGATACAGTGGAAAGAAATAATGACATTGAACAAGCCAAATCCACTTAAAATGTTGAGTATTTTGTTGACTATTTAATCTTGAAGACATCACAGAATTAGAAGGCATTTGGAAGAGGATGATGAAAATCAAATGGGTATGATAAAGCTCTGTGGCTCTCAAGTATGTAATTGCTCTTTCAGGAACAGGAATGAATAAAAAGAGATGTAAAGAAAAAATAAAAAGATAACAATCATGCACAGAATGTACAATGTGACTTCCCCTCCTGATTCAGAACAAAGGGCATGGAATGGAATAGAAAAGAGGAAAATTCAAGCTCCAGAAATAAAATGTTTTTCTTGCAACATGTACTTAGATTACAAGAGGAATAATATTTGCAGGAAGAGGTAATGTAACTTACTTGCTAAATCTGCAAAAGTGGACAAGTTTTCCCTCAGAGTGTCTGACTATCAAACTGTCACTGACATCAATAATTCAGCATAGCCAGGTAAGAACCAGGCATTTATCTGAGAAGCAAAATGTCCACTTCTATAGCAAGGATTGAAAAGATGACTGTCAGGACTGTGATGTGCCATGTCTCATTGCTCAGAAGAGATCTCTAACTAGGAGAAATTAAGGTGTGTTTCATTTGAATATCAGACACGCACTTCATCTTCTCTTCCCTCTGCAGTCAAACATGAGTTATGGAGACTCAGTGAGAGAAATAAGCACCAAAATGTGGGTGTGGGAAGGAACCCAATACTTCATATGACTATTAAGCTGTGGGGTTTTATGTCTCTTGCAGTACTGAAATGCTACAAAACCTTCCTATTACACAGTTGTGGGTAGTGCTTGTAGGTGTAATGCTGAAGAGTATAGAAAAGCTCAGGAAAAACAATCAATGCTTCTTTTCGGATTTCTTGAGGTGTATCTGGTATTTATATTCCCCTGGGGTTGTTTTTGACAGAAATATACTCTAACAGATGCCTGTGTGTCAGTCTTGAGAGCCTATTTTACAGTTCATTTTATTTCATACCAGGAAATGGAACAGTAAATGCTCTTGACAAAATAACTTATCCAAATATCACTATTAGGGACGAGTCTGACAAGGAACTGTCTTCAAAATAGAGTGAACAGAATAAGCAGAAGAAACATCTAATCAGTAAGGAGCTTGAGAGCATATAAAGTATCACCAATGTCGAATTGCAAGGAAAAAAACCCCAAAAGTTTGCCAAAAAGGAGCTGTTTGCAGCATGTTTTCTGCTTCCTCCCTGAACAATAGCAGTCACACCTAATCCATGAGCAGAACATCAAGCACACAACGTAGGGCCATGGTGGCACCAAATGAAATACACATTTGTGCAAGGAAAAATAAGAAAACCCACTAAAAATGAAGTGTTATCCCTATATTGTTCTGTGTGAACTGCAATAACAGCTAAGAGGACTAATATTTCAGTGCTTTGTGGATTTCTGGGAGGCTCTGTGGATCTTTGGTACCGAGTTGCACACTCCAGGCCACCTCCTCGAGCACTGAGGAGTCAGGGGGACAGGCACCAAGCACCAAGAAGTTCTGCTGAAGGTACTAGAGAAACCTGATTTCATCAGATTCATCAGCTGCAGGAAGGTGACCAACTGCAGAAAATCTGCTTGGCTGATTAATGATGGGGTGGGCAAAAGGAATGGAGAAGGGGAAAACAAGAGGCCTAAGGAAGCTACAACCTTCACCTCTGGACAGCACTGTGACGTTTATGGGCTGCACTGGATAAAAAGGGAACAGTCAGTTGTGTTCCTCCACACCCTTGTGGGTGAATCCAACAACACCCTGTGATGTCCCTCTTCTCCTCTCCACACATGCATTCCCACTGAGATGCTTCCTCTGTACACACATGA